AGTCTTGGGTAGGCTGAGGCCGGTGGATCTCTTGAGTTTGAAGCCAGCTTGGTTTACATATGGAGTTCCTTCCAGCCAGCCTGAACTACATAGAGAGATCCTGTTGGCCCTTCATCCACAGACAGGTCAGGGAGAGTGTCTACAGAGGCCCCCAGTCAGAGGAAAAGCTGCTGTGGGTCGCATGTGTCACATGTGTCACCATTTTGCAGCTTTCTGGTGCAACAGAGTAGCAGACTCCAATGAAAAATGAATTCTGTTAAATAACCCAAGGGAAGGCGTCATTTTCTCATAATCTCCTCAGACATGTCCTTCTAGACACAGACACGTGGCCATGAGGTGAAGCTTCCGTCTAAATGAAAGCAGTGTCTTAGGGATGCGGTTGTAGCTCCTTTGATGGAAAGCTTACCAGCAGGCAGGGGTCCCCAGGTTCCATCGCCAACATACACCTGTAGTCCTGGAGGGGGGCAGACAGGAGGTTCCCAGGGGTTTGCTGACCGGCCCATCCGAGTTCCAAGTTCAGTGAGAGACTGTGCCTCAAAAAACGAGGTTGGAAACAATAAAGGAAGACATTACTATTGACCTCTGGTCTCCACACTTGCACATGTGTGCACGCACACACACACACACACAGTAATGCCAGGACTTAAGTGTGTGCCTCTCGTATAATATATTTCACTCTATTATAGAAAAATGTAATTCTTTTTTAATAGGCCATCTTGTCACCTGCCTGTAATTTTAGTACTCAGGATGCTGAAGCAGGCGGATTGCAGATTCAAGCCAGCCTGAGCTACAAAGCAAGACCCCTACCAAAAAAAAATTTTTTAATCAACAATACAATTTAATGAAAAGCAAATTTATTACACTTGCCATAAGAGGGCACCGAGCGGGCAGCAGCTGGATCTCTGCCCACAGACTGACAACAGTTTTGTTTTTTTTTTTTTTTTTAATCTGAGGAAATACTTTGGTTGTGTTTTACAATGAACACACACATGTAGATTTTCCATGAACTTAAAATGGACCCCTGACGGCAAAGAATTTCAAGGGACTATTCCATGTGCCCTTGAGTAGTAGCATCTCATTACTTTTTATTTATTTAGCGTGTGTGTGTGTGTGTGTGTGTGTGTGTGTGTGTGTGTGTGTATGTGTGTGTGTGCGTGTGCGCGCACGCGCCACAGTGTGCCTGTAAAGGTCAGAGGACAACCCACGGGAGTCAGATAAATGCAAGTTTTGAGACTGGGTGGCAAATACCGCTACCTGCCGAGCCTGCCTCTCCAGCCCCCATGATGATATTTTAAAGGTGAATTGCCACCAGACACATATTTGGTCTTGGTAGAGTATAGCATGGGACTTGCTCTTGGTCTCATGGACACACTCTTAGAGATGCCAGCCCTCAGCTCCTCACGGGTGGATAGCAGGCTTTTACTGCTATTAAGTTAACTGACCCTCTCAGCGGCTACTTCTACATCATGCCCAGCCCAGAAATTGTGAGCACCAGCTACGGCCGGCGGTTAGACTCTGAGGGCCTGTGACCTGAAGGGACAATGAAGTTCAATGAAGGTGACTCATCACTGTTTAGGCTTCAGGTCCCAAGCCACATTCCCCTAATTTTTAAACAGCTCATTAAGCTGATTTGGGAACTTGGACCTTCCCTCCCCGTCACCCCCAATGAGATTGAATGTTTACAAATTTATTTCTTAGGCCTGGGAATATCATTCAGTCTTAAATCGAAGGGTTGCCCAAAAAAGACAAACTACAAGTAAGCCAGATAGGGTGGCCACCCCTTTAATCCCTGCACTCAGCAGAGACAAGCTGGGCTCTGTGAATCCCAGGTCAGCCAGGCTGCAGTATCGAGAACTCGTCTCCAAATAAGTAAACAAATAAAACATAAAAGAGGCGCAGGCACTTCCTGCTTGCTGCCGTGGAGGTGGGTGTGCCCGATGTTAGAATGGCTTGCAGCCCTACCATGTTGCCTCTTTCCTACTAGATCAGAGAGGGTGGCCTGGTGCCAAACTGCCCAGCAAATCTAAGCAAATCTAAGAAAACCAGTGCGGCCAGTGAGATGGCTCAGTGGGTGGGGGCACTTGCTGCCAGGCCTGATGGGGGACCTGAGTTCAGTCCCTGAGGCCCTCATTGTGGGAGGAGAGAGCCGACTGCTGAAGTTGCCCTCTGACCTCACACGTGACATAGCATATATGCGCACACACATACATGCACGCATACAAACGCACATACACAAACACACCACACACACACGCACAAACACACACATAAGTAAATGTAATTCTTTAAAAAGAGAAAAGAGTAAAGCAAAGGATCACATTATTAACTTTATCTGTTGTATTTAAAGTCAGTTAACATTTTGGACCTCAGGACAGCCTCCAAAGCAATACAGAGAAACCCTCTCTAGAAAAAAATAAATAATAAAAAAAAATTGGACCTCATCTTTGAACTAATTGCTAAAGTGATATCTTAACTAATTTTTTTCTTTTTCTGAGACAAGTCCTCACACTTTGTGAAACATTCTTAATATATACTTCAGTGGGTTATTTAATGTGTCAGTAATAACAAAAGTGATGTCAAGATTTTAGCTTTCTGAATGTATTCCAATTTCCATACATTTAACACATAAAAAAAAAAACATTAGGGGAAAAAAATCAGTGACTTTTAATTTGATAATCAGGGTTCTAAATCTAAAATATTCATAATTTTGCTTGTTGGGTTGGGGTTTTCTTGTTTGTTTGTTTTTTAGTTAGAGGCTTACTAATGTAGCCCAGGTTGTCTCCTTAGCCTCCTGAGTGCTGGGATTGTAGGCATATATCACCATGGCCTGGGTCCTAGTTCTTATTACATACAGTTGTGTGTGAATAGTTTTTGTTTTGTTTTGTGGTGTGAGCACTATGGTTTCCGGTGCCACTGGCTATCTTTGCAAGGGAAGTCACCACCCCTTAAAATATAACTGCTTCCACCGCTTACCCCAAGTTCTATTTTAATGGCTCTGCTTAATTCTCACCAAAATCATGGCTCAGGGCCCCAGACTGTGTCTCTTACGATGCTGATGTTGAAAAGCCGTCATGATTTTCTGAACCTGTTGAGTTGTGTAAGTTCAATTTTAGATGTGGTGTAGTTTCATTAGTAAACACATGATGATGAGATGAGGATCTAGCAAGAACCCTAGACTGTCTCCGTGTTACAAGTTCAAATCTCCTGGGAAGTAATACAAAATAATTTAGAATGATCCTGCAAGCTTTGCTTTGTTTTGTTTTTTGAGATGGGATTTCACTGTGTAGCCATGACTGTCCTGGAATTCACTCTGTAGACCTGGCTGGTGTCCAACTCACAGAGATCCACCTGCCTCTGCCTCCCCTCCCGAGTGCTGGGGTTAAAGGCATGTGCCACCACTGCCTGGCTGATCCTTCAAGCATTTTATTATAAATTTCAAAATACCTGTGCTAAAGATTTGTTTTAATTGTTTCAGGGGTGAGGAGAGGCTGTCACTGTGCTGCTCACAGTCACCCCAGACTTGCAATCCCTCCTGCCTCCCTAGTGCTTCGAGTGCATGTATCTGTTGGGGGATGGCGATGATTAACCTCACCCAGCTTAAGAAATCCATGGGTTTTTTTTTTTTTTCATTTATTTATTATCACAGCTTTTTACATCAAAACCTGGTTATAACAATTCATTTCCCTGAAAAAAATCTACACATTTTGATTGTTTTGAAAATTTCAGAGAAATTATATAGTTTTTGTGTTTTCTGGATCTCATCGATCCTTGCTTTGCAATGTGGGAAGGACAATTAAATGATTTTTAAAAATTTTCAGGTACTCCTGGAGAAAATGCAAACAAATGGTTTCTCCTAGAACCCTGGGGAATAAGAGATTGATTCCTCTTTTCCCATCTGAGCATGTGCTGTTTAAAAATCCCCCAATGTTGAACATAGTTTTGAGCTACAAATTGCCAGAATAGTGTTGGGGTGGGGGGTGTTTTTAATTTTCTAAAGGGTTAGCACTCCCAACTGACTGACTAGCCAGCTCATCTTACACAGAGGGGGCATGGTTCTCTGCAAACATTTTTCCTTTAAAAGCCATTTCGGTTGCATTTAAGGAACATCCATTACCATCCATCCAGGACATGTTTTTTTTTTTTTTTCCCCACGGGGTGTTAGAATGAGATTAATCATCTTTGGCCATCAAGAAAGCACAAGACTCGATTAAATCAGTCAAGGACATTAAATCCCAGTCTCGCTGAGTCTGCTGGCATACCGATGCCTGAGTTGAGGGACCATTTGTGAAAGTGTCATTTGGTTTGGAATTGTACGCCTGTCTCTTTAAATCTAAAAAAAAAAAAAAAAAAAAAAAAAAAAATCCTTTTAGAAGCTGTAGAGAGAAGGTGCTAGAACTGTGTACGATCATGACTGGAAAGCAGGATCCCTCAGTGACTGCCGAATCTTCCCAGCACAAGACAGAGAGGCAGCTCGCCACAAGCCTCCCCTGATCACCCCCACCCCCAGAAGAAGGATGACCCCGCCGACCAGCTCACAGATCCAATTCAATTGACAACGCAGCTCTTTCAAGGGAATGAGGCGGAGGCTCGCTTTTATGTTACAAGCCACCGGCATCCTCCCCGCCAGACATGGACATGACATTTTTAAAGGAATTATCTGGTCACCGCGTTTTAAGCAGACTGTGCTGAAGCGTCCGTCCGCGCCATTCTCTTTCCTCTCCCTTTTTGCTTTTGCATATATGTAATTCCGGAGGTAAAGGGGGGAAAAAAGCCTGCCAGGGAGTCAGAAGGCATCCCACGAGCGATCAGCTGACACTCCTAACCGAAGGCTGCAATGTGTTGCTTATTCATTTTATACCGTGGGAGCTGCGGGGACTAGCAGAGAGCTGAACTATGCATTTCAAACAGCGGTGCTTGTTCAGAAAGAGGGGTGAGAGAGAGGCAGCCGGCGAGGAAAGAGCGCAGCTGGACTTTCTCCTTCTCTTCATCCATTTCTGCAGGATCATGTATTCGTAAGGGATGAGGCGGGCCACGGCGATCCCAGGCCTGAGCCGCGGCCTACCCAGTCAGTTCAGAGCCAGGCCCTCCACTATCGGAACCGAGAGCGCTTTGCCACGATCAAATCCGCGTCTTTGGTAAGCTGATCCTGCTCTCCCCACCTTCCCTGCCTTCCCCTCCTCCCTGTCTGGCAGCCTCTGGCCCTCCCTGAGCCTCCCTCAGCTTCATGGATGGGAGGAAAAGCAGCCAAGGATGTTGTCTCCCTCCAAATAATTTTATTCATTTTAGGGGGGAAAAATCTGTTGGCATAGCAACCTGATCTCAGATATTTAGCATTGTCTATAGCATAGGAAAAAAAAACCTTTGTGTGTGTGTGTGTGTGTGTGTGTGTGTGCTGTAGATGCAAAATATAAGGCTTTGGGATGAGTTGCTGGCATGATCAATTTTTTTTTAAGGCGATCTGTGTTCTAATCAAAATAAATAATACTAAAAATATTTTTTCAAGGCATGGATGTGTGCAGGGCACTATGCTTTTTTTTATATAGGTGCATGTGTGTCTATGTTATACACACATCAAAAGGTAAAACAATTTTTAAATATATATATATATATATACATATATATATATGGTTGCCAGCTACCAGCTGTAATTGTAGAAAAATCAGACACTTGCTTCCCAGGGACAGTCCACTGGTTCGTTCTGGTTCATTCATTTATTTATTGCAATGGTGGTAGTGGCCCAGCTTCCCCCATTTAACCCTTGAAGAATTTCCTGAGAGCCATAAAGCGGAGGGCTTTGTAGGGGAGGCTGGAAGCAGCCGAGGGAGCAGAGGGCTGTCGGATTCCTCAGCATTTCTACTATTGCAAATGTGATTGCCGGGTGCCCTTGTAGTAGCAAAAGGGGTGTGCGCAGGAAGACTTAGTTTTCATGCCTCCTCCCCTTGGCCCTCCACGCGTGCGCGCTCACACACACACACACACACACACACACACACACACACACACAGTCTCTCTCCCCATTTCATCCTCAGCATTGGAACTCTCTGCTTTTCCACCCGAATCTCACTTCTCAGGAAGGAAAATTATTGAAATATTAGTTGTTTTGCCCAAATGAATGTTAGAGGTCACATGAGCGGGAAGAGTTACTGTACACTGCTTGGCCGTTACATCCAGAACCCATGATGACATCATCCGAGGCCGACCCAGAAATAATCATTTTTTCTTGTCCTATTTTTCAAACCTGATTTCTACTTTTATCCCCCACCCCACCAAGTCCGTTTTTTTTTTTTTTGTTTTGTTTTTGTTTTTGTTTTTGTTTTTTTAAGGCTCCAGTGATGTCTGGGATTCAGAAGGAATTATAATCTTAGAAATAGCAAATAGAAGGAAAATGGAGCCGAGGCCAGCAGTCTATTGCTCATGCCTACTCCATGTCAGAAAAAGAAAGAAAGAAAACCACACAGTTTAATGTAGTCATAAGGAATCCCACTCCCGAGTTCTTTTATGTTGAAGTTCCCCGTAACCTCTTTAATGGGCAGTTTTTCATCTGAAAGGAACACCCTGCCGTGTGACGGGGGTCTCAAAATGTCCACCGTGTGGCTGCCAGTGCCTGGTAAGCATCTCCAAAAGCACGCCTGTGAGTCCGGCAGAACATGGTGGGGCCGTCAGTAGTTGCCTCCGTGCCACAATGTCTGACAGGAAAACTGTGACCGCTCACCCCAGGCTCCTGCGGGGCTCGTCCCTTTAACCCCCACCTGCTTGAGAAGAGAAGCCTTGGGGAGCCCTAGCAGCAGGGGCAAGCACTGCAGGGAGGCGGACCCTAGCCCCAGCAGGTCCCCCATTGCGGGGCAGGCTCTCTCCTCTCCCTCAGGCCACGCCCTCCTTCCCACATCATATATTCATGACTCTCCCCTCCCGCCCTTCGTTACTACAGCCTTGCCGGAACAGTCTCCTGCCGGCCTCTGAAAACTCCCTCCGGGCGCTCAGTGTGGGCTTCAGCCAGCACAGCCGCCTTCTCAGTGGCAAATAGAAGCTGCTTCCCTGCCAGGCCACCTCAGGCTGTGGGCACAGCCCTCAGAAGCCTCCCTGGATCCTACAGGCTTCAGAGTAACCCTCCCACACCCCCCCCACCCTACCCCCACTCCCCAGCCCTTTGCAAGGAACTGCTGGGTTCCATTCCTCTGGTGGACTTCTGATTTGTCGAAAGGTCTCTGCTCCAATCCTGATTTGGAGACCCAGAGGCCTGGGTTTGGGTGGGGTGGCAGCTGGCACTCTGGGCACAGAGACCAGGGGAACAGCCTCTCCAGACGGGATACCTTCAGAGTCTTGATGGTATCCGTGGAAGTTCTTCTGAGTACCGGTAAATTTTGAGAGAGAAAAATAAATGAATGAAGGGAAGAATGGGCTATGGCATTGGATGGTTGCATGTGGGGCGGTCTAACCATTGGCATGGCTATTTTCATGTATATTATCAAGTAATTCAATCCTGCACCCCACCACATGACCTCAAACTCTCAACCCAAGGACTGCCCAAGAAAGAAGTGTGTGATTTTAGAAAATGGATCACACGTCCTATTCTTTTTTTTTTTTTTTGGATCCCAGGTCAAGTGAAGAGGACTATGGTGGTGTAAACAGCATTTAATTAAGCGCAGGGTAACAGGACAGTGGGGGTTGCTATCATCGGTAGTCAAACTGACAGTTGACGGCAATACTAGATTGATTGGTTGATGTGTCAACCATTTGTTCTTTGGCTGGTTTGGATGGGACCCCTTCTCCATGGTTTTCCTTCTAGTAGAGTTGCTGGAGAGCCAAGGAGAGGTCTGGAGGTGATGGGCAAAGAGTACAGAAATACACAAACTCACCTTTCCATTATGAGCTCAATACATGTCGAGAATATTCTTCACTTGACTTGCAAACTTAACACCAACAGTTGCCACTTCTTGGATGTGTCTCACGAACGCACCTTTTCCATGCAAACCTAATGGAGGCCCTAGCTGGACACTGCCTCCTCTCAGTAGAGCTCTCTGTGTTGTGTCTCTGAATGAAGTGTGTGATGGCCATGGGCTATAGGCTCTTGCTACGGGGCCTGTGGTTATCTGGGCACCTTAAACCAGAGTGTTCCAGGTTCTGCACGCTGCTGCTCTGTTGCCTGTGGGACAAAAGGAAAGCCTTGGTGGCGCTTCAGAACAAGGCTCTGTCATTAGAGCCTCCACGAGCGGCCTTCAGTGGCCTCGTGTAGACCTAGGAAATGGAAGAGGGCATCATGGCATCTGGCTTTCTCTACCATCTCTGCAGAAGTGTGGCTTGAGTCGGTCTGTTGCATAGAGGAAAATCTGTCATTCTTCAGGACTGTCTCTGAGTCCTTGGCCCTTTGAGGTGAACCTTCCTTGAGTCTTGCTGCCAGCGAACAGAATGCCCAGTGTCTGCGTTCTGTGACTGGGCCATGAGAGCGATTCTGGCTGTTTTGACATTTGATGTCACTTCTTCAAGTGGTGTGATGTTCTGGGTCCCCGGCAGTTTCCGTAGTAGATGGTGACATAAAGAGAATCAAGGTCATGGGTGTCTACCGATGGCTCATTCGTTGCTTCCTAAAGGAAGTGTTGGCGGGAAGAAATAGTCTGGCTGCATGAGCAAGTTCGTAACGGATCTCACATTAAGGAGTGAGCATGAGATGAAAAACACGGAAAGAAAACTGTCATTCTGTCCCTGAGGTACAGGTTCTAGTTCCTGGCCTTATAAGATTGAGAAGAAAAATTCCTAAGAGGTGGGGGTGGGCGGTGTGCATTTGGAGTTTTTGTAGCGCCGTCTAACCGTTGAACTCAACCGTGTGACATCTGAATGAGTATGGTCCATAAGAAGAAAAAGGTTACCACGTCAGCAGGGACCCAGAGCTAGGTGTTTGAAAATGTCTCCTGCAGAATAGTGCACCAGAGGACGTGTGGCCAGTACACTGGGAATCCTGGGACTGGGGAGCCGACTCAGTCTGTGAGGATCAGATTCCCAGCACCCATGAGACTGTGCATCTCCAGCCCCGGTTCTTGGGCAGGGGTGGGGCAAGGCAGAGGCAAGAGCAGGAACGGGCAGATCCCTGTAGCTCACTGGCCAGTCAGCCTAGCTGAATTAATGAGTTCATCCTCCCAAGATAAGGTGGAGGACATTGAGAAGGACACCTAAATGTTGGCCTCTGGCCAACCTGTGCACACCCACACTAACATGTACATATCACACATGCGTGTGCACACATGAACCTGCCTCCTGAACTTGCTAGGATATTTGCCAGTTTCTTTCACCCATGCTGCCTGTCAATCAATATGCTCAACCCACATGGCCGCTCACTCAGTAAACACATAGTCAAATGAGTGAATGAGTGAGTGAATGAATGACGTCTCCGCAGCCTCTGCTCCATGAGGGTTTGGATTGAGAAGTTTGCATTTTATCTGGGTGTGGTAGTGCACCCCACCTGTGATGTTGCCATATGGCAAACAGAGTCAGGAAAAGCTGAGTTCAAGGCCAGCCTGGGCTACATAACGAGATCCTAGCTCCCTCCTTTAAGAACAATGAGACAAGTGTGCGTGTTGAGAGAGAGAGAATAGAAATCTCCGATCTCTCTCACCCTTCCCTTGGGTGCCCTGTGTCAGGGTGCCCTGTGAGGTCTCTGCAGCCAGCATGAGGGGCGTACTGTAGTCTCTCTGAGAACTTGCTGACTGTTCTTTGCTGCTCAGCACTGAGGTGACCACTCCCACTAAAAGCACTGCTCTGCCCCTTAGGAAGAATTGACCCCGCCCATGGGCTTTGATCACAAGAGCGCCTGTTGTTCTTAGGTTCCAGTCTGCCTTCGTGCTTGTATGTGGTAGGAGGCGTGCTCTGAATGCAGGTTAAACAGTTTGGTTCACAGCCAGACCTTCCAGTATCACACAGGGTAGCGTTGAGCAGCTGTGAACTTCCTTTAAGAGGTGTCGCAGGCTTCCTGCCTATGGCTCGTTAGCTGTTGCTTATTTATTATATTGTGTATAATCCAGGTGTGTGAGATGAGCAATAATTCTGACCCAGAAATTATATGTGGTCTGGAGTGTAGCTCAGTGGTAGAGCACATGCTGGAGGGCAGGACACAGTGGGAAATATACACACTTAGTTCTTTTTT